ATACTGACTTACAAGTTTAGTGCTTATGCTTATCTTGCTTATATTTAGTGAAAATAATGCTGTAAGTAATCTTACTTGGACAGCAAATAAGCAACATGAGTTTCCCAAAATTTAAAAAAAAATGTAAATTTTTATAAAGGTATATAATTTCCTAAAAAGATCAGTGCAGGGTGAAAATCCTGCACTTATAATCCCTATTGCACTGCCCTAATGTCAAATAAAGAACAGAGAGGAAATAGTCAAGTCAGCCATGTAAAGAAACTGGCACACAGTCCTAATCATGACCTCCTAACATGGGTCCATTTCCCCACCATCCTCCCTCAGCCTTAAAACAGGTTCTTAGCTATTCCCACAACAGATGACAATACTAAGAGCAGGAAGTTCCTCAGTGCGTTACCGACAAACAAAACCCAGTAACGTCACAGCACATTCCATTTCAGACAGAAAGGGGTTATTTTTGCTTACAACTGCATCAAACTGCATTCACTACACTGAATTTCTCAAATCAAAGTGCAGTTCCACTGTTTATAAAAAGCTGCCCATATAATAAAAAGGTCTAATTACCATTCTCTTAATACCTAAATATACTAACTAGCTGAAAGGGGGGGGCTTCTTAACCCTGTTTCAGTAAGAGTCTCAGCAACAGTTATACTTATTTTGTCACAGGACTCTATTTCCCTTAGGATAGTAGAAACCATTTGATCTGATGGGAAACTAATGAAACTGGCTCCAGGACAGTGACAGGACCACAATTAACAGGGATATATAATGTTCAAAAACCACCTAAAAGGTCAAACGCAGATCTGGGACAAAGCTATGAAGGTCCTTATCATCGCACACATTCACTCTCACTGAAACCAAAAATTTTAAGTTGATATTCTCATATTCATTTCAGAAAAGGCAATGATACCATCCATATACACTGAGAAATGTGATTATCAAAGTTTATAGTTTCTAGTATAAACTCAACTGTGTGTATGTTTAACAGTACAACCTTCATTATGACACATGCAAACCAGATAATGCTTAAAGAACCACACCACTCTCCTCTAGAGCAGTTAAGGTTCCAAAGTGCAGTGTGAATGTAGAGTAAGTAAGTAACCTAGGGAGTGATGCAAATGGTCCTTTCCACTGTATCCACAGAGCCGTGACCTCTCCAGAGGAGCATACCGCAGAGAACGGTGGCAAATACCAGCTTACTACAACTCTTCTTTTCAGATTACAAAGCAGTGCTTCAGCTCCCAAATAACAGATTAATTACCCCACCTTAAGTAAAATCTCTGCCACAAATAACTACAGTCAACAATAATTTGTTTTTTAGACAAAAGAAAAACTAAACATTTAACAAATAACCTAAGTCCTCTCAGTATCTAAGGCATGCAAGGTTTTAAGCCATAGCATTTATGAACAAATAAATTTTCCCAAAAAGAAACTAAATTTTAAGGAAAGGTATAACATGTGCAACAATGAACATATCCTCAAAGATAAACATGATGGAAAATACCTAGCAAAGCCAATTTTAATTGAATATATTCAATTAAAATAAATAAATATTAAATTAAAAATATTCTCACTTTAAGAGTGGGAAATTTTATTTTAAAAAAGGGCTATCTGAAGATGAAAAACATTTTCAAACCATTAATGGAGACACTTATCTATTTGTTCACTTTTCCTGAATTACTCTAGGCTTTCTGATAGCTCCCATAAAGATTCAAACTGGCTGCCCTTTTCATCAAACCACACACTTCACTTTCATATAAGCAGCTGCTCTCTCACTCATAAGTCTGCCTAATGAATTAAAACTTGATGTTTAAGTATCACTTCTAAGTGTTCTCTTTTCCTCTGCTTGATATTTTTCTGAGTTATATATTGTTCATTTTCAACACTAAATTGCAAAATGTTTATTTAAAAAAGCATACTTTGCATTCAACTACTTTAAGAGTTTCATTTTCATGACAAAGAAGTCTTTAAAATAATTTGTGTGTAACTAACTGTTCTTTCCTAGGGATGGTATGGAGGGTTAGTTAAAATCTGAAGAGAAAGCAGTTTAAGACCCACGTTTCATTTGTAGTCCTGGGCTAAGCTCTAAATAAACGATCCTTTAAGTCTTAAGAAGTATTAACTCAAGTTACAGCTTTTATTTCAGAATTTGCCCAGCCTAAAATGTATTTTCGAACTTAAAAACCACCCTGCTGAAGATACCGGGAAAGACTGGCACAGCTCACCAAGCGGGATCAACAGCCAACAACTCAAGGACTGACTACCTAGCTAGACTACGGACTACAGCCTCCTGTCTATGCTGGCAAGCATCAATGGAGTCTTTATCGTTCAAGTTTTAACAAGTAGGAAAAAACAGAACACTTCATTCCCAAATCTACTAACCAGCCAAGTGAAAATTCTCAAACAGAAACTATATTAAAAGCTCACTTTTAATACTGCTTGAAAAGTATTTTACATTTAAGATTGCTAGACAATCCCATTCAAAATTTCTAATTATCAGAGTAGAGTATATTAATGTCAATGAACAGTTTAATCCCTAAAGTGAAAGTTAGTTTTATGTGAATTTAAAAGTAATTTTTCTGCTAAGCATTACAGACAAAGGAGAGTGGAATCCCTGACCACAAACAGAAGTCCTGATTAATTTGTTGTGGACAATGAGAGGCCACAAGCGGGGAGCACAATTGCCAATTTTCACAATTAGGCCATCTAACAAGAAGATTAGGATGGTGCACTGAAGAAACCAGTATTTTCAAGTCAAGTTAAACTTATAGTAAGACTAACACGTACAGGAAAAAGCGTGTAACACCTAAGGACTGGCCTCTTTCCTGCTCTGATCTGATGAAAACAATCACACTTCCTACTCACTCCACTGTCTATTGTAAACACACATCTTTACACTGGCCTAACGCAGAAATTCCCAAGTACAGACAGAATGAGGTGAGAGATGGAGAAAACATGAAAAGAGGGAAAAAAACAAATATTACTTTGACTACTGTAATCCTAAACTAGCTTTCTTCTACATCTGAAACTCAAAGGGTTACTATTTCTAACCAGAGAAATCAACAAGCCTGAGCAGAAGCACTGACACACCTGAAATTCCGCCAGGTGGCTGCTTACGCCAACCTCAAACTAAGGTAGTCCGTTCTGGGCAGTCTGAAGGGCACATGAGCAGCCTTTCACAACTAACCCAAGAACTCCGACTAGTTTTCTATATAGCATATCCAAACTTTTTATAATCTCCACTGTCACTGGAGTATACACAGCATTTTAAAAATACATTGTAATTCATTTTAAATGCTGTCTAGTTGTGTAAGAGATTCCCCATAGACTATACTTTAAAAAATATATAATTTTCATCATAAAATGGATACTAATACCACGAAAACAACCAATAAGCCAAGTGAAAAAATAACAGTGTATTAGGTGTTTTCTCTGTAATCACAGTTGTGGATAAATCATGACAGGTGAAATCACCTAAAATTTAAGTTTCTACTGAATTCAATATAGGTCAATTATTAAGCAAGCTACATATTTTTGTTCCAAACATTTCCAAGGTTAAAAAAAAATAACTGGCGCCCCTTAGCGCTCACATTTGGAAATACTCAATTTAAGAGTTCCAGCCTTTTTTTTTTTTTGACATTCCAGAAAGTTTTCTGCCTCCACAATCTTTCAAATGCCAACACAAATAGGAAAGGCAAAACCCCTTAAAGGGGCAGCACAAGTTTTCTCCGGGGCATTTGAGACTAAGAGACACGCGGTCCCAACAGTGGAAAATGCCCCTTTCGATGCGTTACTGTCGTATGTTCACGCGGAATAGCCGAGTATTTTGTTTTAAGTCCTATGGCTCCTACCCAACAGAAGCTCTTAGGATGATTGTTCAAGCATCCTTTAGCTCGGAGATATCCAGTCTTTTGTTCTTCCCTGACATGCCTGCTCCTTAAGCAGAGGATTTGCTTTCTCCAGCTAGATTTGAAAATTTCCCAGATTCTTCTCGAGATCCTAAAATGCATTGTTCGTCTGCACAGCAGCAGTGTTCAGCTTCCTTTAGACAGTCCTCCCGCAGACTTGAAAAAACAAAAAAGAAAGTCCCCGCTCCTGGATGTTCAAAATGAACTTGTTGGTCCTATTTTCCGCGCCCCCCCCCCCGCGCCCCACGCCCCGGGAGGCCACACAAAGCCACAGCTACTGGAAACTAACACTCCAGGTCGCTGCTGGGAGAAGTTCTTAAAGGAATTCCAGAGCTGACCAGCACTCATCTCCTAGTCCTTCTTTGCTCCCCACAGCGCTCCCAACTCGGCTCCTGCAAACTTTCGCTCTATTTTATTCTCGTCCTTTCAAACTTCCAGCTCCCCGCCCTACAAACGCAGGCGGCTACGCCGGGAGCTAACCCTCCGCCCCAGTTCTCCCGAACTCGGATTCCGTTCAGGTCTGTCATCGCGGTATTTCGTACTCCTCTCCCCCCCACCACCACCACCACCACGACCAAAAAAAAAAAAAAAGTGAAGTTAAACTCCCAAACAGTTCTAGCTTCCCTAAACAAAGGACAAAAAGTGCTCCGCTCTGTCATCCAGTCCTCGCCTTCGGCCACACAAGCACTACTTTTCGGTATCCCACGCAATGTCTCGACATCTCAGAGTCCGCTCCCGGACTGCGGGGCCACACAACTCCGCCGGGGCCCCCGCGGGCAGGCGAGGCGAGGCGAGGCGGAGCTCGGGGACTCGCGTGGCCCGGCCGCATCGGCCGGGATGGCGGGGCTGCCCTCGGCCGCGCCGTCGGGAATCGGGAGCCGGCCGCAGCCCCACAAGCCCCGCGCGCTCCGGGGTCCGCCTGCCCTCGGGCCTGGCCCGGCCCCGGCCCGCCGCGAGCCGCCCGCGCCCTCCGGCCCTCCGGCCGGCCCGCCCGCCCGCCCGCCCGCCTGCCTTTGTGCGCCCGCCCGCCTGACCTTCCCGCCGCCCCGCCATCCCGGGCCGCCGCGCCGGGGGGTGTTGGGGAGGGCTCACCTTCGTCCAGCAGCCGCTCGAGGTGGTTGAAGATCCCGCAGAAGTTGGGCAGGCTGCTCATGAGCTTCTTGTCGTTCATCAGCTGCATCAAGTAATCTGGGGTGGGCTTCGGCTTCTCCTTCGTTTCCATTTCCCCGACCATATTCCAGGCTCCGCAGCTCACTCCGCCCGCCGCCGCCGCCGCCGCCGCCGCCGCCGGAGGAGAGGAGGGAGGGGCGGGGGCGAGCTCCGGCCGCCGGCCGCTCGGGACGCGGCGTCCCGCTGCTGCTGCTGCTGCTGCTGCCGCCGCCGCCGCCGCTGCTGCTCCGCGCCGGCTCCCGCTCCGGCTCCCGCGCCGCCGAGCCCCGGGGCGGCCGGCTCCGCGCGCCCGCCCGCCCGCCCGCCCCCCGCAGGCACTTTCGCCGCCCCGGCCCCGACGCGCCGCGGCCGCCGCTCTCGGGCCGCCCGGCGCGGCTTCCCCGCTTCGCGAGGCCGGCGGCGGAGGAGGCGGGTCTCGGGCCGAGCGCGGCGCTTAGGGGGGGACCCGGCTGCGCCGCGAGGAGCCCGGGGAAGGGCGGGCGGGGCGGGGGTGAGGGGGAAAGAGCCGCCGCCGCCGCCGCCGCCGCCGCTCGTCCGTCGGTCGGTCGGCCGGCCGGTCGCGCCCGCCGCCCTGCCCCTGCGCCGAGGCTCGCGAGTCTGCGGTGCTGCCCGCCGCGGCGCTCGCCCGCTCTCTGCTCCGCTCTCCTCCGCTCCGCTCTCTCCGCGTTGCCGCCGCTGCCGCTACCGCCGCCGCCGCCGCCGCCGCGCTCCGACTGCGCTCCTCCTCTTCCTCCGCGGCTCTCCTCCTCCTCACTCACTTGGCGGCGGAGTTCGCCTCAGTTCAGGCGGCGCTGCCGGCGGCGGCGGGGGGGAGGGGCGCGGGCAGGGCCGGGGGCGGGCGGCGGGCGGGGCCGCGCAGGGCGGCCGTTACGGGGCTGGGCGAGAGCTCCCGCCCCCCACCCCTGCACCCCCCCCCCCCAACCCCGCCGCCGCCGCCGCCGCCGCCCCTCCTGGCCGCTCGCGGGGTGGGACGGGCCCGAGCCGCGGCTGAGGGGAACGGACGCGCGCTGGCAGCGGCGGCGGGCGGCAGGCGGCGGCGGCCTGCGCGGGGCCGGGGTCGCGCGGCTGAGGGGCGTGGGCGGGGGGGGAGATGCGGGCGGCGGCGGCGCTGGCTCGTCGGCGCGCTGTGGCTGAGGCGGCGGGCGGCGGCGGCGGCGGGCGCGGTCGGGCGCGGCGGCTGAGAGGAATTCCGGCGGGACTCTGCGCTCGCCGCCGCCGCCGCCCCGGCCTCGCCTCTCGGCGCCTTACTATAGTTTGGGGATTTTTCTTTTCTTTTTAAATCTCTCGTCCACCTTCCTCGTTGCCCCTCAGAAAAGAGATTTTTTTTTTTTTTTTCTTTTTAACGTCCTGTTGCTTCACTAGAGAGGGAGCGGGGGGGGGGGACGACACACGACTCTCGGGTGGGCGTCACGTGGCCCGACACGTAGCCGTGAGGCGGAGGGCGCGTGCGCGCGTCGAGGGCTGTGGCCACGCCCCTTCCGAGGGTCGCTCCGCCCTGCCGGGCGGAGAGCGCGCCGGTGGGGGAGGGGCGGGGCCCGGCCCGGAGCGCGCCTGCGTGGGAGGGGGCGATGATGGGTCGGGGGGGGGGGCTTGGGGGGGTGTGCGCCGCCAGGGGTTCGGGACGGAGGAGCGGGGCGGAACCGTTCTGGCGCGGCGCCCACCTTGCGGGACGGACCGGCGGGCGGGCGGGCGGGCGGAGGGACCGGGCCGTCGGACCCCGGCTCGGGCGAGCCCGCATCCCGCCCGCGATGCTGGTGGGCAGCGGGCCGAGCTGGCGTGGGCGCCCGCGCCGCAGTCTCTATCGCCCGCTGCGGCGGGACTCCAGGGAGCTTTCCCCGGGGAGCCGGCACCGCCCCCCCCCCCACGCGTGACGGGCCTGGCGTCGCCGGGAGCTGCGAGGCGGTGGGCCCCCCCAGGACCGTGGGCGGAGACGGGACACGCGTGCGCACCCACGGGCGGGCTGGGCTCCACGCGGCGTGACGCGCGGTTCCGTTATCCTCCCGGCGGGTTCTGGTGGGAGGGGAGAGGAGCGGAGCGGGGGACCCGATCGGGGGGGTCATTGGTGGCGGAGATGCAGAAGAAGGGAGACTGCGTGAGGAGCACACGTTCGGGGTGGGGGGAAAGAAGTCAGTCAACGTCTGTTTCTGCGCACTTGGGGGGAAGAAAAAAAAAAGCAGTGCGCCAGAAAAAGGGCTTTCTTTCTATGCAGGATGACGGAGTTCTGCCTTTTACATTTGTTTGGGAAACAGTTTTCTGAATTGCAGCAATGAAGTCCTGTGATTTACAGGAGCTGTCAGTCATTAAGTCTGCATCATCCATGTTTTGTTGCGAGTTCTTTATAACGTGCACCATTAAAATGTAGACAAGATTATCAAATTAGCCTTGTTGAGAGTTGTCCCTGCCTATGATTTTCTGTGAATCATGTCACTGTATTTTAAATGTGAACGTAAGTAGGTGTTTTTGGTTTTTGGTTTTTTTTTTTAACTTTGCTTTACACAAATTCTAAAGAGCATTGTTAAGATTGTGTTGTACCAAATGTATTTGAAGCAATTTCAAATGCTCTTTCATAGCCAGTAGCTTCTAGCAATTTCATTGAAAGACCACTGGGTTTGTTTTTTGTTTTTAATTAAGTTACTTTGATAAAGCAAATGAATTTGCCTTGATGGACAACGTTAAAAACACATAAGTCAAATAATTTGAATTTCCAACAATAACTATAATAGTCCTTAGTACTGTAGAATATTCACCTTATTATCTCTTTAAACAAATTATGTAAATGTATGAAATAGCAATTTGATCAAAGGCTGTTTTACTTTTTCTAAATATGTTTCTTCAGAACCTAGAAAAATGAGAAGTTTGTGTCTTGCATATTATTAAAAAATATTTTGTTGCTGAATTATTCATGGGCTCTACGTGTGCAAGATGAAGTCCCTTTCTAAGGTGGTTTACTTAACTTCCTGGGCCCTGTGCTGACTGCTGCGCCTCTACAGTTCAGTCAATCAGAGCAGGCCTGTGGCTTAGGTACTACTGGCATCCCCATTACATAAAAGGAAACCCCGAAGAGGAAGAGGTAAACTCAATATTTACACAGCACTGTAGCTAATGAGTCCTGTCTGCCGTTCAGTCCAATTATATTTTATTCCAGAGTGCCGTTCCCACTTTACCACCCGTATCCAGTCCATTGAACCCATGATAGTGTTCCATCATTTTTGACCCGTAGGTTCAGCCACTTTTATAGTGTAGTTGAGACAAAAATGACACTGTCGGGCATCTTCATTCCCACGGATTAATCCCTGCTGGGCCCGTCGTTGGTATAGCTGCTATGGAGTGCAGAGTAAGGGCTTAAAGTACATGTGGATCCCTCCCCTGCTCAGTTTTCCCTGATTTCTCAGGTAAGGAAAAAAGAGAGTTTACCATGACCTGCCAGGCCCCAAGTGCTCTGCTCTTCTGCATGTTGCTGGCCAACCTCACTTCATGGATTCTAGTCTCCCTGGGACCCACCTTGACCTCTCCACCTGCTTGACATCTGTAGTACTCTGGACTTGGAATCCCCCTTGGAAAGCTCTTCCACTCCAAGTCTCATGCCACCACAACTCTATGTTAAGTTTTCAGGTCAAATTTTTCTCACACGCCATGTCAGATCTGTGGGTCAGTTTTTTTACCATCAGAGTAAAGACTTCACTTTGTTCCTTTTAGAATTCCTAACCCCCACAACAGCACATGATGTTTGTAGGTTTCCGTGACAAGCATGTTCAGAGAGGAGTGTCAGGGACTTGGTGCATACCAGAGGTCCAGATTCTTACCTAGATTATTTCTTTCAGGTCTCACCCAACATGTCGGGGAGGCGTGAGTAGCCCTATCTGAGAGATGAGATGGTTGGCTGCCTGAGAATAGTTTGGTGGCTAGTGGAGGGCTGTACAAGTACACATGCTGTCTTTGGAGCCACTGCCCTTTCCCGGGTGTCCATCCACAGGAAAGATCCCTCCTTTATCTGTCTTACACTCCTGTTTCTGCACATTGTGGACATCTTATAATATTCATCACTCAAAATGATGAATGCAGTGTAGACCACAAAGTTTGTTGGGATGTGCACCTTTCAGCCTTATCATTTTAACAATTATTATAGATCCTTTAGTTCTGTTATTACAAACATATCTTCATACAGTATTCAAAATGAGCAGGATAAATATACATGCCGCTGTGTATACACAGGTCCTTGTGAAGGTCCTTGTCATAGCTATTTCAGTGAAAAAGCATGTCATCTACTCTATTGACACTAAAATTGGCTCTTCATTCTAACACTGTAATTAGCCAGGAGTGGAAATGCACTTTCTGTTCTCTTAGTTTCATTGGCCCTACCAGCTTGCTGCATTTCTTGACATTTAAAATAAAAACTTACAGTATCCAAGCACTTCTGTCTTTATCACCATGGCGTCTTTACAAGAGCTAAAAAGTATTTTAAACTTCAGATTCAATGTTTGATGCCTTGGTTCCAATATTCTTTATAAAAAATAATTTAAATTTCCATTAAAGGAATGGGGGAGTCTAGGTATGTTAGTATACTTTACAGAACTTTTGAGTGGCCTCTTCATTGTTGAGAGGTTTATCAGATACTATTGGAAACATTGAAAATGATCGAGGACTCTGGTGAACTTCAAATGTCAGATAACTATGTAGATTAGGGCCTTGGGGGCTGTTTTTGTTGTTGTTGGGGGGGCGTGTCTTTTGGTTTTTAGCATGCCTTCTTTTCACTGAGGCATGTTTGTGTCTCTTGTAAGATGGGAAGCTCAGCCCCCTGAGCTGCTGTAGAATGATTGTGCCGCCTTTAGACCACTAATGAGTCCCTTCCAGATGTAGCACCAGCATCCAGCTTCCACCCGTGCCCAGCAGTTAAATATTAACTGGCAGTGTAAGGTTTCTGTTCATCTGACCCTGTGGAGGTAAAAACACTCAGGCAGGATGCAGGCCCTCGCGCTCTGTAATCTGACCTTCATTCCACGTTTAAACAGATCTCCGAGGAAAAAATAACTGTTAATTATAGGACTGCGAGAATGAGCTTCAGATGCCCTCTGTTTTGATCGGTTCTCATACTGACTCACGGCATTAATTTCAGTAGTGCTTCTCTGGATTGGGCTAATTTCATGTTTTTTTCTCTTCAGGATCTAGGTCCCTCAGAATGAGTCAGTGGTGAGGTTATTTTAGCATGTTCCATAGATACCATTTGTTTCCCAGTGTGTTAATGTTAAACAGCTAATGTGGCTAAACACTTTATAAGCAAAGGATATAACTACTCCTGTCATCCCCAGACATTTAATCAAATGCCATTATCCTTACTACAACTTAGAGGCTGAATGTATCTCTCTAGTAATTGTGGCATAAGTGACTTCTAAACTGAGTTCCCAGAAGGTCAGTGAGAGACGGAAAGGAACCCTCTGGGGTGTCCGGCACTTTGGTTATTTCAGTACACTGCAGCCCTGAGTTGATAATTGCCTCCGTTTTACAGTTGAAGACAGTAAGGTTCAGAATGACTAGTCTCTCGGTCCGTAAATCCTGGAGGCAGGGTTCTTGTCAGACCTTCCAAGTGGACATGTGGCTGCCCCTTCCATAAGGTAAACCCAGATGCCTAGGAGCCATTGGCTCTTTTTCTTGGTATTTTACCCTGTCACTGATGTGGGATCTTTCACGTATGAAGCTCTGGTGTCTAATAGTGCTGGTGTTGTGCCAAGAAAATGAATCTGCTCGTGGCTGCTGGGGCGAGGAGAGTCAAGTTTGGTTACCCATGCTGTATTAGCTAGCCCCCCACACAGGAGAACACAGGCAGTGTCGACTGGACTTGAGAAGTTATTAGATAAAAGAGGAGACGTCAAGGGGAGAGGGGGCCATGTTCAGGGAGTCAGTGAAGAACGGAGGGGCCTGGATAGGATCAAGATACATTGTATAAGCCGGGCGGTGATGGCCCACGCCTTTAATCCCAGCACTCAGGAGGCAGAAGCAGACAGATCTCTGTGAGTTCAAGGCCAGCCTGGGCTACAGAGTGAGTTCCAGGACAGGCTCCAAAGCCGCACAGAGAAACCCTGTCTGGAAAAAAACAAAAAAACGAACAAAAAAAGGATACATTGTATACATGTATGAAATTTTGACAAATATTTAATATTTACCTTGCTCTCTGTGTGTGTATAAAGCCCTTAGGGTTTCCTTCCTCACAAAGCCTGAACCAGTGACTCCTTGTATCTGCAGGCTGGACTGGAGGAGCTCTGGTTTCTGGTTCCGGATTGTCTTCACCGAGAAGAGCAGATTGCTGTTGTATAGTCTCTGTGGTGACCCTCTAAGCAGATGACAAGAAATGCATTTAAAGCCATCAGCAGGCTGAGGACAGAACTCAAACAGAGCAACCTGCCTCCTGGACAAGAAGTACTGGGTCGCATCCCCAGCACTGCAAAAACAAACATCTTTACGTGTCCAATTTTGTACTCCAAAATCTTTTTTTAAGATATTTAACTGTTTTCATTTCCCTTAGATGTGTAATACTTAAGGCTGGAAGCTTTATATTTTTACATTTTCCAAAAACAAATTTCCCACCCAACACATCATAACTTTATAGCGTAACTTGGTAACAGTGGAACACTAAGACCCTTCCTGAAGAAATCTATTGCAGGCAGAACAGAAGGACCCCTTGAAGGCGGGAGCTGAGCTTTGCTCCTGCTGTTCCCTTCTTCACAGGGAGCCCACTTCCCACAGCTACTCTGAGTATCCTTATAAGACCATGTAGACAAACTTGAAATGAGGATGCTGGCGGAGCAGCTTCCGGGAGTCCAAAAGGTTTCTCTGCCTTCACTACAGGGAAATAGAAGGTCTGAGAGTTGGCTCCATGCGTTCAGTATTTCCAGGGATTTTCAGGGCTGGAGATCAATTGTTCTACCAATGAACCGGACCCCCACTCCTTTTTATTGGGCGGGGAGGAAGGGTGATGCACCTATGTACCATGTGTGTGGGGTAAGAGGGTAGCTTTGAAGAATCTCATCACCTTCCTCTTGAGGCAAGGCCCCCCTTGTTTTCCCTGCTGGCTCTCCAGGAGAGCTCACAGGCTTGCAGACCATTCCTTCCACCTTCTATCTGCTGGGACAAGTACTAAGATTACAGATGCAGGTTATACTAGCCAGCTTTTTTTTTTTATTTTAAAATCTGGATTCTAGGGATCAACTCAGGTCATGGGGCTTGCAGGGCATGTTCTTTTCCCACACTACCTCCCCACCCCACCTCCCTTTTTATGAGACAGTTTCCTTAGCTCAGGCTGGCCTTGGTCTTCCAGACAGGCCGCACACTGGTAATCCTGCCCCTACTTCCCAGTTACTGGGATGAGAGGTGTGTGTCCCATCCCTAGCTCGATTCAGTGATTCTTTGGAATATAAGAGATTTGTCTTAATAAGATATATCTGTGGTCCCCCTAAATCTGTAACAGCTCAGAGATAAGTTACCTCTAATTTCAGCATTAAAGGGGAACTGGTGTACAGTGATGTTACTTCCCTGTTACTTTCCCTTTATAATGTGTTTGAAGGTTGTGAGATGTCATGTGGTGCTGGGAACCACCAGGTTCTCTGAGAGCAGCAAGTGTTCTCAACTGTCTTCCCAGCCCTCATCATTATGTATTTGAATATAAGATTAAAAGCAGTTATTCACAGCCCTGATACTTATTCAATACAGCTTTATAAGCTTTCAAATGGTGTTGTTTTGTTTGATTTTTGAGACAAGGTCTGTAGCCAAAGCTGCGTAGCCTAGATCAACCTTGAACTCAGTACAACTCTTCTGCTGAATTTTGAAAGATTGGCATACCACTCTTTGCTACAGGCTGAGCCATGCAGTATATCCCATCTCCTTGTACCCCCAGGCTCTTCCTGGAGCCCTGCAGCCTAAGGTAGAATCTGCCTTCCAGGGCTTGGGGACATGCTCATCCTAGCATTCTTTAGAAACTTTTTAGTATTGCCTCTTTGTATCAGTCTCTACATACTTGGAAAACTATTTTGTTTGTATGTTCATTAAACCTGGATTTACTAGGTTTTACAAATTACAGTGAAGGTAGATAATATTTTGTCAAAAGTATGAACAGTTTCTTTAGGTACATATCCCAGTTTAGAAAGAAGATTAAAGAAGGGCCCTTACCCTATTCCAATGGAATGCCGAAACCTTAACCCTTCAGCATTGTCCTCTGCTTCTCCCAGGTTAATAATTGCAGAAATGGGTTGTTGGTAGAGTTAAATGCTAATTAACCACCACAGTGTGTGTGTTCAGCAGCTTACAGCCCTGCCTTAGCGGCCCTCATCCCCCTGCTGAGCCACACCATGGTGCCAGCATCTACCGTTTCCTCATCATTCTGTCCAGGCCAATCATCAGATCTGTACTGTTATGTAAGTAGACTTTAAGGGCCACCAACTTGAATAATCATCACTAATTGCGCCGTGTTTCTCTGAACAGCTGTGGATAGCATTGTTTTTGCATGGAAATAAAACGTGGCATGGGAAAATGAGTAACACTTTTTGTCTAACAGTTCCACACTGTGTGCCCTATATTTATAGTGTGTGTCTGGAATTAAGTAGCAGTGAGAAACTGCAAGCTCAAACTGTGGCAGACAGTGGGATGGGGTGGCACCCATGGAGTAGGATTCTGGGTCCAGATACAGCTGTCCGGGGATTAGGACGACCGTGGGGCGGAACTAGGAAAAGAAACGACTCAGCTGTGAAATCAGGACCGAGAAGAAGGAGCAAGGGGTTTAAAGACAGCCTTGTAGCTCTCATCAGCTGATGCGCCTCTAGTTCCCCTCCGAACAGCTAGGCAGGCCGCTGGTGGGCAGCGACAGTAGACCTTTCCTTGTGCCAGGTTCCTGACCTCTGTGGCCCAATGGCCAGACTTGACTTTCTCTTCCCCCTCAGCTGACCAGGTTTCAACACTACAGCTGGGCCTCTGCCTAGCTTCATGAACAGTATTGGCCCCAGCCAGGCTCTGACACTTCTCCAGATGGGGGCAGGGCGCAGACACTAAGTCTGCAATGGTGAGAGGTAACAGCCAAGTCCCAGTCGCTCAGTAGTGAACGACACAGGGGTGAGGAGCACTTCCATGTTTGAGCTCTTCTAGTACGTGTCTCCCTCTGCGCTGGATGGTAACACTGCAGCCCACAGCACCTCCATTTGCCAAGTCCTCAGCACTGCTTGCCCCCGGGTGATGTGGGTGTACTGCCATCTTTAAGCCCTGATTCATAAGGCAAAAGTCTTGAAATGTTCTTCCCGGGGAATGAGTGTGTCACCCAGCCCAAGGGTCCAAAAAAAGCAGCAGAGGAGGGCCCAGGTTCAAATCCCAGACTGATGTGTGAAAAGTGGCAACATAAATATATCAGGGTTACATGAGTGCATGCCTCTGTTTCCCATTGCTACCAAAAACACATACAAAGCAACATTAGGGATTTCTTTGAGCTCACAGTTTGAGGGTTCACATTACTGCAAGGCAGTCACAGCAGCGGGGAGTGGGACTGCTGGTCCTAGTGCATCCACAGTCAGGAAGCAGAGAGGGATTGCCAGGGCTCAGCTGGCTGTCTCCTTTTTATTCAGTTGGTCTGAGAGCCCCAGCCCAAGAAACGGTGCCACATACATTTGGTGGGTCTTCCCACCTCCATTAACTCAATGTAGAAATTCTGTCACTGACAGACAGAAATGTGTCCCCTAGGAAATTCTAAATCCCATCAAGGTAACTAGATTAAGTACCACACACTAAATTTTCAATCAATATTACCATTTTATAAATCAAAAGGGACCTGCATAAGCTCATATTGGTCAGCATGCATGTGTTTTGGAATATTTGTAAATATCTCTTCAGTACATAGAAATTTTATTCACACAGCTCAAAATCCGCGGTCATCATTTTTCTGTGGCTTCCAATTGCATAAACCACTTCCTACTGCTGATGCAGGAGGTAAAAGGTCCACAGCCTGTTGGGAAGGAGCTTAGACCCCAGCTGCCTATGCTGTCTGAAGCAACAGCTTCTCAGAAAGCTGGCCAGTTCTTTAACTCTCCACTACTGGATGGCAGAAGCAATCTGCAGTGGTTAGGTAGAGGCTTCTGCGCCCCCACCACTGCCCTGGAAGCAACTGGCCAGTTCCTAGAGGGGTGTAGAAGATCGTATCTTCTAGAGAGCTCAGTAGGTAAGTGGACAACTGCCGTCCTCCAAGCTGTGCTGGGACTCACCACACCACAGTGTAGATGCCACAGGGGTACTGCATCACTGACCCAGTGGCCTGGTGACAGGAACCAGAGGTGAAATGGAGACATCGGGCATGCTGACCCAGGCTTGTGATCTCAGCTACTTGAGATGCTGAGACAGGAGGACCAAGAAGAGTTCAAGGCCTGTCTGGACTACGGAGTGAGTTTAAGGCCAGATGGGTAATTTAGATCCCATCTTGATCTTAAAAAAAAAAAAAAGATCAAGAATTTACCTCAGTGGTAAAGTGCCTGCCTAGCATGTGCCCACCCTAGGTTCAGTTCCCTGTAGAAAGGAGATGGGAGCCAGCTTCGGGCTGTCTTAAGCCAAGCCAAGAAGTCTCTGGTCTCTATCCCTAGGAGCACAGTCCAACTGCAGGAGAGTGCCAGAGTCCTTACTGCCCACTCAGCAAGCTTCTGCTTCCTTCTCACCAGACATTTGGTCAGCAAGAGCCACAGCCCACTTTTTGTTTTAATCAGATACAATGGGGGAAAATAGCTCTTGCTTTGAGGAACTTAAACATCTTAGAGTGAGAAAACAGGGAGATGAACACATAGTCACAGGCGGCTACTGCAGACTCTTGTCCTTACATGGCATACGGCTCACTGTACGTTCTTCAGATGTCCCCTGAGGACCTCTTCATATCACCAATGGGCCCTTAGTGCCTGACATTATAGCTTCCATGGCTCAACTATGTGCCACCATCACTACCACCCACCTCCTAGGCCACGTGACCTGCAAAAGGAATTTACCACTGAAGCCAAAGGCATCATTTCAAAATGAAAGTCCGCACCATTAAACTAAGTTACTTAAAAAGAAAAAGAAAGCGCTCTGAAAAAGTGTGGTTTCCCAAAGAATCCCACACCCCACTGTAGCACTAATGTTGAACAAGATTTGCATTGGAATCGTATGTTTTATTCACCAGAGGCACCATGCTATCAGCAGACCCTCGGACACCATCCAGTCTGTTGTAACTGCAACCCTGACACCATAAGGGACTTACTGAGAACTTTCCTCTCTAGCTCAATTTCTGCGGGAGTGGTTTATGGTAACCCTTACACAGCACTTACGCAATAGTAAAGTCAATGCTGTGGCCCACAACACAAAATTTAAATAGCCTGTTTCATACCAGATTTCCCCACAGCAAAATCCTAATAATGTTACAAGTTATCTGCACTCAGTCCCAACCCCCACCCCCATCCCCTTGGGCTTTCCTGGCTCTGGGCCTCAAGGTCTCCCCAGGTTGTCTCCTACTCTGTGTCATCATGGGGTCCCAGTATTGGTGCCCATCAGGCCTAAGGTCCCAGGAAAGACTATCAAAATGGTTGCCAGTTACTCTAATCATGAAGCTGGCTGATTTAACATGATGGGACCCCTTACCATGTATGCACATCAGCACTGTTAAGATGTACCCCCGTGAACCTTGTTACAGCTGACTGTCAATTGTGCTTCCTGAAGGTAAACTTGGATAGCACATTGGAGAAATAGTTTGCTTGAATTTGATTATTATTTGCTCTCCATTTGACATAGGATTCTGTTGTCTAAACTCGATCTTAACAACGTTCATTCAGGATGTCATTATGGCGAAGGGAATCACAGAAGAAGAGGAAAGCATCCCAGAAAGAGCTGAAACAGGCAAAGCACCCCCACACCTCCTTTGCTAGGAAATAAAACTGCAAGCAGTTTGGGTTTGTTTTTTTCTTCTTTCCAAAGGTCCAAACACCAAGAGACCACTTCTCAGCCAGTAGCTCAGCGTGAAGCGCCTCCACTCCGTGTTTGCATGGCTGGGTCCTTGCCTGTGCCCCGCAGTTCAAGGCAGCTCTGTAGTGCTACAGTCTTGGTGCTTGTTTGGAATCATGTGCAACATCTAGTTCATTGAAGAAGAAAAAACCCTGACTTCTGCATAATGTTGGGAAACAGTCCTTGTATCTGTCATTTATTCTTAATTGTAATTGGAGTAAATTACTAATTAACTTCAGAAAAACTAAAAATAAATGAATATTTTTTTAAAAGGATAGGACACTTTGTCTTTGCCCTCAAGAATCAAATGGAGACAGTGTGGTGGCCTGCTCCTGTGATCCCAGCACATGGTAGGCAGACGTGGGAATATCTAGAGTTCAAGGTCAGCCTGTCTCAAAAAGCAATACAAGGGACAAACAAAGAGAAGCCCTGGATCTTCCTGCTAATTAAAACTTACAGCATATTCCACCTGTCCTGGCGTGCTTGCTTCATAGCCTAGAGCCATACCCCCACAGTCCAAACAACTCTAGGGCCCATGCTCACCCTGGGCAAGGATACACATTGGGTCTTCTCGGCCCTCAGTGTCTTTGACCCCCAAGCTCTCACAGGGTATTTGCTTATCTTGACACCCTTCCGCTCTAAGGTAACCTGCACTATGATGAGAGGTCAGTGCAGGCTCTGTGGGAATGCCTGCGGCAGTCTCCGCATGCATCCACTCGGTGATCTCCAGAAAACCACCATGTCTACTACAAATGTCTACTGTGCCCAGGGAGCTCTCAGCCACCTGGCCCTCCCTCTCCACCTCAGTAAACCCCCGCAGCCCTGCAGCCCTGACTACCTCCCCAGTTCTGCACCAGGTCTCCTCTCCTCAGGCTGCCTGCAGAGCTTAGCTCAGCTTCCACAACCTCATCCTCATCCCTGCTGCCTCCAAAACAAACACAAATTAGCCAAAGGACAAAGGCGTTTCTGTGACAGAAAGGTCAGAGTTTTAGAAATGACCAAGCCTGGGAAAATCACAAGGTTGCTGAAGGGTCTGAACTCCCCAGCAGTGGTTTCCAGAGGCTGTCCTCATTTACATTTCAACAGAGACCTGGGTCAACCGCTTCCAACCTTTCCTAAACATTCTTACCAATCTTAAATTAAGTGCAGGCTCCAGGCACCTTCTCTGTTCTTGGATTTTGTCTACTCTTGGGGAGCCTAAGCTCAACCCCTGACATCCATTCTCCCACCCTTCAAAGGGTCCTTTCTCTCTTGGGCATCTGTCTTGGATGTCCTGATTGATGTACTGGGTAGCTGTTCCAGCTTTGACCTAGAAGTACTACCCTCATTGAGGCTTCCGGTAACTGTCACGCCTATGAGGTAGGGCCGAGACAAAAGCCCTTAAGACCTAAGATCCGGCCATGCTGGCTCTCTTGGTTCCTGGACCCTGGATGCTAGAGGTAGACCAAGCAGAGTTCTCCAGGGAACACCGCTGGACTGCACTTCACCTCTCCCGGACCCTGTAACCTTATCCCTTTACTTGTAAGTTACCCCACAAAATAAACCTCCCTTTTAACTACGTGGAGTTGCCTTAACACTTCCACCAATATCCTGACTTTACATTTCCCACTATGTCTCTCAAGAAGCACCTCACATCTGGGGTCTTCGGAAATTGTCCTAACTATAGCCGTTTGCATGAGCTATCTGCCATAGGCTCAGGCATTTGAATACATGATCTGTAGTTGATGAGGCTGTTTGGGGAGGCTTAAGAGTTTGGGCTTTGTTGGAGGAGATGTGTCAATGGAGGTAGGTTTTGAAAGTTTAAAGACTCTATTTCCAGTTCTCTCTCTCTGCTCTTTGCTGTCAGTTCAAGATGTGAGACCTCAGCTTCCTGCTCCCGCTGTCACACCGTTACTCCACAATCATGGACTCTGACCTTCTGGAACCGTAAGCCCAAATAAACTCTTATCTAAGTTGCTTTGGTCATGGTGTTTTACCACAGCCACAGAACGTAACTAAGACACTGCCCTCCCCTCTCCCTCCTGGGGAGAGCCTCATTTAAGAACCTGCCAAGTGCTTTTCCAGTCTCTACTGGGTGTCTATCTATTCTTACATAGCTTGTCACTGGACTTATGCTGGCCCTGAGAGGTAAAATGGCATGATGACCTAAGGCTCTGTCCCCTTTGTGTGACCTTGGGCAGGCAGCCTGGTCTCAGCAGTCCTCATGTTTCTCAGCTACAAAATAGGAAGGCCAGTACCATCTATTCAGAGACAGTGGTGGGTGCCCAGAACAGCATAACTAGGCACAGTAGCACAGGCCTAAAATCCCAGCTATTGGGGGACAGAGCAGAATCAGAAGTTCAGGATCGTCCTTGGTTACATGGAGAGGTCATGGCCAGCCTGGGACCATGCAACCCTGTCTTACAATAAAAATAAAGGTCCTCTGCCTCTGTGTACATATGATGGTTCTTCAATACATACTGACTTCTACTATAATTCTTACTAACATCTAGTTATTACTCTTAACCTGGCTCACCTTGCCAAGTACAGTGAGAAACATGGGCATTTAGAGATAAGTGCTAATCTGTACCTTCAAGAAATTCTCAGGGTACTAAAGGGGTGAGCACCAAGGAATGGGCTGCCTCTCAATGGGAATATGCTTGGGGTCTTTTTTGTTTGTTTCTGTGAGATAAGGTCTCTCTATGTATAGCTCTGGCTATCCTGGAACTCTCTATGTAGACGAGGCTGGCCTCAAAGTCATAGAGATCTGCCTGCCTATGCCTCCCGAGTGCTTGGGATTAAAGGTATACACCACTGTGCCTGGCCTATGCTTGGGGACTTTGGGGGACACTGAACAGAAGCAGCTCCCTCCACCAGTGAGTAAGAGCAGAGGAAGGTTATGCAGAGAAAGCTCCTAAAGTTGCTGCCCTGAGCTAGACAGGAGATGAGAGGGAGCTGCCTCTCACAAATGGAGGAAAGGACACCCTACCAGCAAGACAAGACATGCCCTTAGTGGTATGTGGCTGCCTCACCAACTCCTGAAATATAGTTCATGCATATTGTCTCCATAGGCTGTCAGGGGAAAAGGCCCTCTGGAGCCTGCCCCTGTGGTTATATCTCAGTTTTAAAGCCCCACCTCCAGATGAGCCTTCCTCTGGGACACTGTGCATGAGGTGCGAAGCATGTCGGCATGGCTTCCAGTGGTTGAGTGCTCTTTCGGAGCCCGGCACTCCCACACCTTCCTAAACTTCTCTCAGAGTCCCCAACAGCAACTCCATGTCATCAGCTCATCCTCTGTCAGATCCCGGCTCCACCAATTTCTAGGTTTGCAGGTAAATGACCTCTCTGACTCCGCTTCTCCCTCTCCCCGTGAGGGTGCACCCCACACACTGATGTGGGGTAGTAGATACTGTGAGTGGGTCTATGGGGACCGTCACAACAGTGCAGGAGTGCATGGGTGAGGTGGAGATTGGTGATAGCTTAGTAAACTTTATTCCGCTTTCCTCCTGGACACAAAGCCTCCATTTCACACCT